CATGTGGGTCCTAATGCCCCAGTATAGTGACGGGGACACTATACCGTAAACAAGCGCCGTCCTTCAGATGAGACGTAAAACCGAGATCCTGACTCTCTGTGCTCATTAAAAATCTTAGGGCGTTTCTCGAAAAGAGTAGGGGTGTAACCCTGGCGCCCTGGGCAAATTTCCCATTGGCCCTTACCAATCATGGCCTCCTAATAATCCCCATCTATGAATTGGCGTTATTACTCTGCTCTCCTCCCCACTGATAGCTGATGTGTGGGGAGCGTTCTGGCGCACTATGGCTGCCATCGCATCATCCAGGTGGGGCTGCACATTGGTGGTGGTGGAGGAGATCCCCATTACCTGTAAAGCGCTTTGAGTGGAGTGTCCAGAAAAGCGCTATATAAGTGTGAGCAAATATTAATAATAATAATAATAATAATAATAATAATATCATCCTGAGATGTCCAGAAATTCTGGAGCTCAGCAGTGTTAAAACACACTCTGTATCTGAGTTATGTAGAAGATTTCTAACCTCTTCTGCCCATTTGTTTGTGTTTTATAAATACAGGGTTAGTCAAAATGCTGTTGCCAACTTTGATATTTATGCTTTCGTTTGAAACTTTTTTTGTCACAGTAACCAATGTGATCAATTTGTAATAAGCTGTCAAAGTTTCTAACAGTTACCTTACAATCCTTTGCCATCTGTGAAAGAAAGCAAAACTTGAGTAAAATAACTGGCATTTATACTTGTCGACAACTGTTTGACTACCCCTGTATTTTGTTGAAATTGTCTGCTTGTGCTGGAGAACACATTACATATTTTGCTTGGACCACATCACATGAGGTAGACAACCGCAGATGGATACATGGATATTTACACATGTAAAAGAGAAATTTGCATGTGTTCATCAATGGCTGTGCATTTTGTAATAACACCTGTTTGTTAGGCAGCACAGTGGCAGTTCATACCCCATTGTTCTGCAGACACTGGAACAATATCTGATGTCTTTTTTTGCAGCAAATGACTAACACAGGCTTAATTTTAGTTTCATTCTTGCCATTTGGTACTGTGGCAACATTAGATTAGTGACAGCACACTGTCAATCCTAAGAAAGATACTTTTCCAAGAGATGATTTTGGAATACTATCTTGCCTCTGCCAACATCCGATAGCATCGTCCTTAGATGTCAGCGCAAGATTCGATGTATGTACCATTTTATACGACAGACAACTTTTTCACAGACTTCGACAGCTTTCTTGCAAAATGAAAAAAAAGCCTATTTAAAAAATAAACAAGGATCCACTGCTGGAATAAATCCTGCACATTAGCTCTGGTGTTTAATTTGCCAGGAGTACTAACTGTTGTGAACGTATGCATAAAACACAATATTTACTTTATTTACTATCTTCCTGCTAAGCACCACAGTAGTCAGAAGCATGACACTTTGCTCAGGAAGGAAACTCACAGCGCTGTGATACTTTGGTTCATCTACAGAGGAGTTATTTTTAGATCTCTTTAGCTCTGCACTTGAACAGGCAGCAGATTCGTGTTTGAAACTTGTATGTGAAATTTGAAACTTATTCTGGTTAAAAAACATGCACATACAGGGGTTTCTCTTCCTAAACCCCATCAGCTGTTCAGTAACAACGATTAAAGAGAACTGGAGCTTTCCATTAATGCCATTAAATTTCTGATGCTTTTATTTTGCATGCAGTGGAAAGAACTTTTATGTAATCTTTTTAACAAATGAATATTGTGATAATGTAGGGTGGCAAACCATTTTGCCAAACTGTGTATTTTGTAACCTAATCTGAGATCATTTATCAAATCACAAACCAGGTTTGTCACAGCAAAAATAAAACAATGGAACATTTCCAGTTTTGGAAAGAACAAAGGGAAAAGTTGAAGTCTTACATTGGAAAATGTAAAAATAATGTGGAAAGTTATTTTTTTAACATAAAAATTATTAGTTCAACATTTCAGCACCTGTGTGGAAAAAAATGAAAAATCTCACGCCTTTTTCTGTTTTTCACTATCAAAGCTTTTGGCACTTTTATGTGGGAACTGGCATTACTATGGTGCATTCATGTGGAACAAATATGAACTCTTGCTCAAAGTTTTCAAATTTCCATGTTGTAGCATGGATTACAAGATAATTATAAAAATGGTCATTATATTAAATAATGTAGGAAGCAAAAAAAAGCTAGAAAAATCTGTGTGTAATAATAAATAAACTATATTTCTTGCTTAGAACATTTATAAAGCAGTTGCAAATGCTGTTTCACAGAGATACTAGAGATTTAATTTAACTCTTGTTTTCATATACAGAACTCAGTATTTCAAAGAGAGTATCAAGTTTATTCATGAATCCCGTTTGAAAAGAGAAGGGTGCCTTGTCCACTGGTGAGTAGAATGTTTCTGTCATTTTTAGAGATGTGTCCTTCCTATTCCTTTCAATAAGTGCACATCAGTGGATTAGTGTTAACCATGTTTTGTTTCTCAGTACATAAGTGTACAGTGTATTTTGGGAATGTATACTGATGCACAATGAAAACCCAAAATGTTTTACACCAGTAATCAATTGGGCATATGAATATTATCTATTGTTTTAAGTAAGGAGCGTATCAGTGTGTAGATTATTCATATAATTTGTTTACAATTTGTTAGGATGCAAGTCATTCAGTATGTGGTATTTGAGTTGATGTAAAGTTGCCAGAATGAGTTTCTTTAAAATCTAGCATTCAAAAAGACCTTATTGTAATTTTAGTAGTGCAAGATCGGTGAAAGATAAGACCTTGTCCCACCTGAGTACTAAAGACAGCTTGGCTGCTGCTGTCGTGACTGAAGGCAGCCCGCCTGCAAGAGAGGTCGCCCAGAGAATGAGATGTTCTGCTTCAGCAATCAGCAGACGAGTCCAGAGAAACCAGGAAACCGACAACGTGTGGGACAGGCCACATCCTTGATATCAGACGGTCTCCACACCAGACCAAGACTGACACATCCACCTGATCGATCCGCAGAATTAGAACTTCTGCTACAGCCAGAGAATTGCAGGAGTAAATGGCCTGCGAGAGATGAAGTCACTCGCTTCTGCAGGCAGAGAACATCAGAGGTGGAGGCGAAGAGAGTAGCAGAGTGTTTTATTCACTGGCAAAGGCCATTTCCAGGTCAACAAGCCTGCAAATAGGCGACGTGTTGCCATGGTGAGCAACATGCAAACAGCAGCGTTGTTCCAGCCAACTGGTGGGAAGTTGAACTCTCCTTCAACACAACAATGTCTTCGGTACTGATTGAGAGCAGCCTTAGTTCTCAGCAATGCATTGATAAGGTCCTAGAGCCCAAGTGTGTTCTGTTCCTGCCAGCCAATTCAAAAGTGTCAGTTCACCAGCCGGGCAATGCAAAACCACACAGTGCAAGGATTACAATGACATAGCTTCAGAAAGTCAACATCAAGATGTCACACTGGCCAACTGGCCAGTACTGCCAGGAGACATCCTTGGTTGGCTACCTTTTTCCAGCTGTCTGCAGGAAAAAAGCCATGTCACCCTGCAACTCACAACTGACAACCCACTGCAGCTCAGCAGGTGTGAGCCTGGCCAGTCCCTGGATAGGAGACCTCCTGGGAAAAACTAAGGCTTCTGCTGGAAATGGTGATAGTGGTGCTCACCCTGTGGCCTGTGTGGGTCCTAATGCCCCAGTACAGTGTGATGGGACACTATACTGTAAAAAGGCCCCGTCCTTTGGATGAGATGTAAAACAGAGGTCCTGACTCTCTGTGGTCATTATTATACTACCGTAAAAATCCCAGGATGTTTCTCACAAAGGGTAGGGGTCCTGGCCAAATTTCCCATTGGCCTTTACCAATCATGGCCTCCTAATAATCCGCATCTATGCATTGGCTTCATCACTCTGCTCCTCCCCACTGAGGGCTGGTGTGTGGTGAGAGTACTGATGCACTATGGCTGCCATCGCATCATCCAGGTGGGGCTGCACACTGGTGGTGGTGGAGGGGATCCCCATTATCTGTAAAGCGCTTTGAGTGGAGTGTCTACAAAAGTGCTATATGCGTGTAAGGAACAATTATTATTAATTAAAATTGGCATAACATCCCACAACAGTGTCTCAGAAAGCTAGTTGGATCTATAGTAGTTCAAGTAGGTAGCTGTGTCAGCATGCGCAGGCTGCAAAGAAACAAGTAAAGGTTTATTCCCTGCTGAAAAGAGAAGAAAGTAACACAACATTGTGCCTGTATTTCCCTCTTACTTATATGACTGCGGTACCCTCACTTAAAATGTTTAATTAAATCCATTAGACTTGAGAGTGGCATTTGTTTTGTTTATCAATATATTAAGTCAAACATGCATGTCATGGACGCATACTAATCCAAAATACTATTGAGAGGAACAAGAGCTAAATAAAGAATTGCTTTAAACAATACTAAAAAAAAAGGGTTAAACGGTTCATGCTGACACCAGGTGGAGATCAGCCTCACTGAACTTTGTTCTCCAGGGTTTAGTATCTAGGCAACTACCGCAGCTAGAGTGCATGAATGAAGAAAGGCTGGATTGTGGGAACTTGTGACCCTTCTAACGGTTTATTGAGGTGCAAGATGTGGTAAATACACATACAGTATAAACACAAAACAAAGAGTAGCAAATTAAAATGGCTAAATCACGGTAGAATAATAATAAAGTAAGGTGCGAAATGTGATAAATTGTGGTAAAGGATGATGATGAATGGCAGTATTAGGGTATCATGGTTTTGTTATGCTTTGGCATGATAAAACCATTGAAAATTGCTTACATCTTGCTTAAATCTATGCAGATTTATCATAAGAAACTTTCCCGAGAGGAGTTTCAGTGTTTTGGAGAAAAGCGTGGGCGACAGCTGAATTCGAGGGTCAAAACTGCAAAATATACCACGAGTATATAAAAGACACTGTCAGCAACTGTGCAGAACTGTTCAGGAGAAACATGAAAATAACTTTCAAGGGTGCTAAAGAAAATATATTAATGGGCTTTCTAAATATGTTAGATAACATCATTCTTATAAAAAGACAGTTAAGAGGCCTGGGGACCTCAGACAGTATGTTTAGAAAATACAGAACAAGGCTTATCTCCGTCTGCAGAAGCTTAGGAGTGTGCTGTCTCTTGCAACTTCTCAAGGTCTGACATGAAGGGATAATTTTACTGTGAAGTACGTGAGGAGAGCTTCATCTGTCTCCATGTAAGGTGTGGTGCTGTGCAAGCAAACTGACAGACTGGTCTAGTTCTGTCCAAGCACCACTCCAGAGGATTTCATCTGCACCCATCTAACCCCTTTCAGAAGGGGCTGGAATAGTGTTTTACACTCAATCCTGGAGGGTAATTTAACCTGCACGGAGACGTATGTCCATTTCATAACAAGAAAGTAGTGTGAAGTTTCAGGACAATTGTCCACTGTCTTTCATAGTTTTCAGTTGAATCAAGGACATAGTCAGCAAGCGAGCACAGCTATGCAGGAGAAACCAGAAAATAACCCAAGTGGGTGCAAGTGCACTGCTCCAGTCCGTTTGTGGAATGTGGTTATGAAATGAGTTTTCAAACGAGCTTGTTTTTTTCCCCACAGCTTTTATTGAATTGAAATTTTTTCTCAACACGCTAGAACTATAAAAGCTCTCTCACACGCTCACACACACACACACCGCTTGCCATTTGTTAAACAACCACGAATCATCGCCTTTTGAACGTCAGTGATGGGGTTAGCCATCATGCTGCTTTTTGGGGTTACAGTGTTTTCACCTGACCAGGTTACACCCCGCAACAAAGGTGAAAATAGGAATGGAGTTGGCTTTTTGTTGGGGGTGGCGGGCGGAGGAAAGCCTGGAGGGGCCTCCTTGTCTTACAAAATCCGGAGGCTGGGCTAAATATAGAAGGGGAATTGAGCTCTTGTGCTTGCTGTCCCCCTGTCCCTGCAGCCTGGCGGGTGTTTCCCGCAGTGTCACTCTTGTGGTGGCATACATCATGACTGTCACGGAGCTGGGATGGCAGGATGCGCTGTCCGCGGTGCGGGCAGCCCGGCCCTGCGCTGGCCCCAACATCGGCTTCCTCCGGCAGCTCGAAGACTTCGAGAGCTCTCAAGCCGTCCATGTGAGTTCAGCGTCTGCTTTTCTGACAAAGGCTCCCCCCCTGCCCGAAAATTTATTGCTTCCTAAGACAGCTGCGGCTCTGAAAATGGAAGGGAGAGGGACCCAAGGAGGCTTCTCTCTTTTCTGCAGCACCCTTTCCAGTTTTTTAGTTTGCACGTTTCCAGAATGCGCCGTTTGTGATTTAGATTTGAAGCTTCTGCAGGGTGCAACCCCAGTCAAACCCCAACTCTAGGAGAGCTGTTGTCCTTGTGGACTTTGGCGGGCTGGTAGAGTCCCCATACAATTTTCTGAGCAAGTCTTCCACTGCTGGGCTCACACTCCTTCCACAGTTTGCTTTCCGTCCCAGTCTCTCAGATCTGTACACTGTCGGGGAACTTAAACAGTCGGAAAATTAAAACATAAAATCAAAATTTAGTTAATCTTCAGCATTTTGCCATTCGAGGATATTTCACCATAGAGCCACAAAGCAAGTGTTCTTTGTTGGACTAGATATTTTTATCGTTTGATTAAGAGAATGAGTTTAAAGGAAAATATTTACCAGTAGGTGTAAGACAAATTTCTGTCCATTCGTCACATTCTTACTTTGTGGGCTGAAAGATGTGCGTGTTTTAGATCTGACAGTCACAGTTAATGTTCGCTGCAATATTCATCTATTAAGACTTTTTACCTTTTTTTTTACCTATCATCAAATTTCATGAAACATATTTTTGTGAATGGGCAAAGTAGAGAATTATTCAAAGAGCTTCCCTTGAGAGGCCTCATGGAGGGCCTCAGATAAAGAATGAACATAGCGAACTACTTTCATTGTCCATGTTTCATAATTCTAATCAAGCTGTTGCAAAGCAGGAGTTAGACATTACTTGCAACAAAAGTGGCCACAGAAAGGTTTCGATTCAGAAAACCTCTGATCCCATGTTATTATGAAATGTTACCTATTACAATGAGAGTGTTGGATCTCTTTCAGTGGCTTGATGTTTTTTTGTTGCATGATCACCGATATTGAAATTGATAATGGAACAGTGAAACTGGCAAAACTGGGGGTGAATGTGAAGAAATGGATTATGTACGTTTAATTCACTACTCAGTTTTGATTTCACACCAAGCAGTTTCTATTCTTTGATATCTCTTTCACCTCAGCTTACAATACCCAGGTTGGATGTCTAGCCACTGCACGGTTTCATGTACTGTATGTAGTAGAAATAACCCACAAAACAGATCACCTGTGTGAGACCAGATTTTCAAAATATTGCAAATACTGCTTTATGAAATAAAATGAGTTCAAGAATAGTGATTTCTTAAATACCAATATTTAGTTAATAAAAGCAAATTAAGTGAACAGGTGTGACTATACTATTTGAACAAATATGTTCAACTTGCATCAGTCTTTAGTATAATCAGAGCCTGACTTGCCACAGACATTGAACTTTTAATAGGTTGGCTGAGGTTTATTTGGTACATTCAAAGGGGAAGAAAATGTAGCTTAATTTTTGTCTCTCAAGTTGTGTAGTTAAATATGCAATACGTTTGTTTGCTTTTCTCTCTGTGTTATGCTTTTGCAGAATAAACATTGGCTATTGCAATTAATTTGCCCCCAGTCCATCTGAGATGTTATACTTAATGAAAAATTCATAGGACTACATAGTTCATAGTTAGTTCATAGTTAACCTCCCACCAGAAGTGGGAAAGAATATTATTCAGTATTATTTTATATTGTTGGAATCTATTTGCATGTATAGGCATGAGGTTTTAAAACATAGCACTTTCATATCTGTTTAAATAAACATAACATTTTGACTTCATATTTTGCAGTATATTTATCATTTTTGTAGTCTTCAGAAGAGCAGGTAGTGTCAGTTGTTATCACTCCATAGGACAGTATAAAAAAAACACCATTATGTACAAAAAGTTTCCACTGTTTTCTGATCACAAATGGAAAACAGTTAAAATTCTATGATTCAAATATTACCAGTACAAGGAAAGGTCACAAAATTACCTTTCATGCCTTAACTACAGCACAAATGGCATCAATAAGTTCCTGGCATAACCACATAAAATAAACCTGCCTTCATTTGAATAAAAAAAGATAAGACACGGTAGGCGAAACAGACTGTGTTCTTAACTCTGATTGTAACCATGTAATTAAAATTAAATGAATGTTAGCAAAGTGTATAGAAAGATGTCTTTGATCATGAGTACATCCTGATAATGTTCCTAGTACTGGAACTTACAGCCTGCAATTCTTCCTTTACAGTTCTAAATACAGACCTTTCTGCAAAATATGTTCACATCCTTAAATTAGTGTAGATGTTTTAATCCAAGAATGCATGCTTTTTTAATGTTTTTATACTTTTACGCTGCAGTCCTACAATCGGAGTACCAAAAAAGCCTAATTCTTTGCATGGAGTTTTGAAAAGCATTCTCACGTGAAGAAATGTACTACTGGTATTAATAAATGTTCTCCTCAATGTCCTTCGTCTTAACTCCTAAATAATGTAACAGATGTTGATGCGCATTTGTTTCTTTTTTTTTAGTTCAGGAAGTGGCTGAAAGAGAGGTACAAGCAAAATCCATTTAATGATGAAGAAGAAGTGAAATCCCTGCTATCCAAGAGTAACAAGCCAAACAGCATGGTGGGCAGCTCTGCTGGGACAGGAAACACTTGACAGTGTCATCCTGAGCGCTCCAGTGCATGGCTTTATGGACTTCTGACTCCTCCTGTGGAGTAAACCCCTTTTAAGCCAATCACAATATTTAATTTATACAGGTGGTAAATGGAACAGTTGTTTTATTTTCTGTGATCAGTTCTTTTAGTAGGGTGAAAGGGGGATAGGATTGACTTACTGGTCTTTTGTAAGTCATGTTTCCTGGTGCACTATCAAGGGAGTTCTGCTTTGGTCCACTCGTTTGGGTAGCTCTACTGCTCAAATCTACTTCCTGATCTGCAGTATGTAAAAAGAAAATAACAGTTATGTTTCACACTTTTAAGACACACAAAGGGATTTGACAATCTACCATTTAAAAACATGCTTTTTATGGTACATGTAAAGTTTTTGAAATTTGCTAACCAATGAGAATTTAAAATATTTTTAATCATCGAAAGTGAGATGTAAAATGTGTCATAATGTAAAATAAACTTGATGGAGAGCAGTGTGTAAAAAATGGAAATGTATTGCTTTTCATTAATGTGGGGTTCTGTAAAATATTTAGAAAACTTAAGAAGTCTTTTTAAGTTTACAGCCTGAAGAGCTGAAGTGTTTTCTTGTTGCTCAATTCTTCAACCTATGGAATTTTCCTATAGTGAGATCGCAAGCACAACAGCCTTTAAAGCTAAGGAGAAATTTTCCGAATATAAAACAAGAATCATCATTTGGTAATACTATAATTACGTCTAACATACAGCAGCATCTTTGGGTTTGCTCAGACACTCCCAGTGTCAAATTAAAGTACAGCCAACACCCTGGGGTGCCTGTTGTGCCTATAATCTGGGCTATGTTTTTTAGAAATTACATCATACAATTATACACGCTTAAACATACATAGACTCCTGTTATTACCCACATATGCGTAGCATACATTTCCAATGCCCTACCAAAATGAGAATAGTGTCACCCACCCTTTCCAAAGTACAAGTAGTGGTGCAGTACATGGCGTATCCCATGTCTCCTGAGGACTGTAAAGTACTAGCAGACTAGGCCTCTGTGCTGTGGAATGTAGAGGAAATAAGGCTGAAGCAAATAACCTCACACAAGGCATGGTTGTTGAAGCGTTAGTACCTCTTACGCACAAAGGACAAAAGCGGACCTGGCTGATGTGCAAACTCAGACCGCCTCAAGGGTGTGCAGGCAGCAGGTGTAAGGTATATTTTACAAGAATGCTGAACATCACAAAAGACTTACAAGGATGGCTTATCATTTGTGAATGCATGTTTTTAGAACATGAATATGGATTTGGGATATGGACAGTTTTTGTCGACATTTTGATTTATCAGTCATCCATGGCTTGACCGTGATCCACTCAAGTGATTTTTAATGTGGCATCACCAGTGTCATGTCTCCCTTGTTTTTCACCAGTTCTTCCTGCCTGCTTCCATCCTACATTTTCTGCCTCTGTACCTCTATGTACGTAGATCTGAAGTGTGATTTTGTGACAGCATGAGGACATTTGATCCAAAGCTCTTTGTCACCCCACAGGAAAGAGCAGTTAAAAGATGTGTGGTTTTGTGCAGTGTCATTAGAGGTTAAGAAGCAGGATCTTTGAATTTGACTGATTTGATGTTGCTTGACATTTTTTAACCACCTGCTGTCCACATGACACACAGATCATTTTCTACTGCACATTGCGTACTTATATCTGCTCTTCAGTAAAGAAACCAAAAAATGGACCACACGATATGTTTATTGTTAATCTTTCTATACTCTGAAAAGCAAAGCAGAAAGCTTCGTTACTGTTACATTCATGTTCCAAGTGTTGTGACGTGCTCTGTTCCATTAACATGCAATACAGAAATGACTGCCAGAAATATCCTGGTGTGAGCCCTTTATTATCACATATAAAATTCAGTTAAAATATATTTTATATTATAGTATACTAGTAATCACAGTATATCAACATGTTTGTAAATGTTTGTTTAATCATCTTAAAGCTTCTTATTTTTGCTGGCCAGGAGACTGGTCATCTAAGGATTTGTTCTCTGGAAATAATGTTATTTCTACATACCCAACAAAATCCCACAACATAAGTGTTTGTGTTCCTTTGATTTCTTTGTATGTCACGCATTGGAAGACTTACAAGAACACAAAAAAGGTTATATACAGTATGAGAGGCCTTGCGGCCCAGGTAGGCCTTTTAGTTGCTAGGCGATAAGTAATGAAGCCAGTGTATAGGCTTCACCATTATAGTTGAAAAGCTTGTTCCAGCTGCTTGATGTATTTCTTTGGGGGCTCCTGCTCTGCAGTGCCACGGAGAGGCATAAGTGTTGTGACAGTGAAGTGAAATTGGTCTTTTTTGCTGTGTCCTGTTGAAATCTAGACTGTTACGCTTATCGCTCGCTTTCCTAAACGGTCTCGCATTCCCACGTGTTAAACAAACGCTCACGCCGCAACTAATTTTCCTGTCACAGTTCACTCCCGTTACTATATATCTCTTCCCCTCTTTTCTCACTTCCCCGCTCACTATTGCGGATATCACCCTGCAGCAAACGGTCAGGCGGAGAGAATCGATACTTTACTCAAAGCGCTTTACAGGTAATGGGGATCCCCTCCACCACCACCAGTGTGCAGCCCCACCTGGATGATGCAGCAGCAGCCATAGTGCGCCAGAAGGCTCACCACACACCAGCTCTCAGTGGGGAGGAGAGCAGAGTGATGAAGCCAGTTCATAGATGGGATTATTAGGAGGCCATGATTGGTAAAGGGCAATGGGAAATTTTGCCAGGACGCCAGGGTTATACCCCTACTCTTCGAGAAACACCCTGGGAATTTTAATGACCACAGAGAGTCAGGACCTCTGTTTTGCGTCTCATCCGAAGGACGGTGCCTTTTTACAGTACAGCGTCCCCGTCACTATACTGGGGCATTAGGACCCCCACAGACCACAGGGTGAGCGCCCCCTGCTGGCCCGACTAACACCTCTTCCAGCAGCAACCTTAGTTTTTCCTAGGAGTCTCACAACCAGGTATCGACCAGGCTCACACCTGCTGAGCTCCAGTTGGTTGGCAGTTGTGAGTTGCAGGGTGATATGGCTGCTGGCTGGTATGGGTGATATATATGGCTCTGATATATGGCTGATATGTCTGCTCATGAGAAACCAAGAACGGCATGCCTTTATTTAGGGGCTGTAGGCCACAGCTGATAGCTCTTCATCGTTGGGACTCAAACCACAAATATAAATGATACTTGTTCACTTTACACATGATGGGTTGCAAAGCCTTCATGTGGCCTTTCAATAGGTGCTGTGCTAGAAGGTATCAGTTGTGAGATTAGATACTCTTGTTTGTGTTTTGCAGTTCCGTTGTACTTTGAGGTATGGTAACATCTGCATGAAATTAAATGTGCTCAAGAAAGTTCACGACTTCTCAGAACACAGTATTTCTGTGTTAAAAAAATGTACAAAAACGTGGTGGCTCAAATAAGGGGATTTTTATCAAGTACTTACAATGTTGTTTTGGAGCTTGAAATGAAACTTTCATGCTCCGATGACCCATATTCAAAGAACGTTGATTTAGATGAACAAGAAATGTAACTAATCAGTAAAGTGATAAAAGTTTTCATTCACAATACGGTTGATAGATTCTTTTTAACCTTTTTGTATCATTACCGGTTTACTATGAGAACACTTTCAGTTTTCTCAGAGCCTCCACAAAGTAAATAAATTTGATGAGTAAATGAAGCAAATGAATTTCAATCCATAATATCCTATTGCATTCATCATGGGATTCAGGGTTTGTGATAAGTATGATGATTTTCTTTGACAGTGGATCCTCTTTTCCTTGGATGTTTTTTACTCTTGAATTTTTTAGTTTTTGATAAATTATTATTATTGAATTTATTAATATTACTATTATTTAAATTCGAACCAATTAAGCAAGTACAATACACGCTTTACGGAATTTTGAAAGGCTAATTTTTCAATCTGAACTTTTTTCATGTTCCATGCAACCATGACAATTTCTTTCTTTTGTTCTCACCCTCAACATCATTGTATTCCAATCTCTGTCTTTGTATTTTTAGTTGGTCAAGAACAACCAGTTTGCTTAAATTTTCAGGTTAAAATTCTGTACATGGTAAGGAATGTAGTAGTTTTCTTAAAAACTATTTAAAACATTTTTTAAATATGATATAAAATTGAGATTTTGGTGACAGCTGTAGTCACCAAAGTAGGCAGCTCCGAGTTTATTCACACCTCAGCTTGTGTCTACACACAACACGACAGACCACACGGAGAGGAATAGGCACTTGTCTTTGTCTTTTAAGAAACCACATCCTAATACAGGACGCTAAGCACAAATTGTAGGAGAAGATGGTTGTTATTAGTTTTAACATGACAAAATTCAAAACTTGTATCCGAGATTCAGTTTGCTCCTTTTGTCCTAATTTGGGATCGACACTTTTCTTTATTTTTCTTCTTATAACTGTACAAATAGGAATGGCCAGTGGTCTTTTTAAGACGGCGAAAGCACCTGCACCGCACGGGCAGAATGAGTTCGTTCGGGCAAGACACGCTCCTCCGGTTCGCCCATCTGTCACCCGCTCACCGCTGGACTGTCCCCGGGTTCCACCCTCGTCACCAGCTGCACGTCACTGTGCCGGCGCTGCACACAGTGCATCTACAGTATTTTAGTGTTTTATCTGAACATTTTACAGTGCCTTTTCAGGGACAACGAGTGATTCCTAGAGTCATATACCGTAAGGAAGTATTTTACCTGAAGTAGACTAGCAGGTCGAAACCACTTCCAAAACACACATACTGTACTGTACATTCATGTTTGTTCATAACGTGTTTTGACGATAAATATATGACCTGCTGCAAAACCTGTTTTAAACGACTACTCGGTACGTGGGGACAAAACCCGATACAGTTGTCATTGCATAATTGTGTGCACAATGGGAGTAAAATACGGTTTTTAACATCAAACCACCTCATTAGAAATGCATGATTGCTCTCATTTGACAGCAAAATAAACCCTACCCCAGGTGCAATGCTGTCCATGAGAATAATGACACTGATGACTGTGTAAAAAAATCCCAAAACGCGATGTACCTTTGTAGAGCTGAGAATTCAACCGTTCTGCATCACTGGAACTAGCTGTTCCTGTCATCCTCGTATGATGCATTTTGAATTTTTGTGTGTTTTTCCCCACAAACTTCTCCAGAACACCTCGCAGTCTACGTTGTTCATTTGAATCCCTTTTCAGTTGTAAAAACCGTTATACAAACCTGTATTTTTCCATCTTGCCCATGATGGAAACAGTTATTTAAGTCACTTAAAGGCTGCACCAACAATTCCGTATTTTTCAGCCCGAGTTTAAAAACCAGTCACCAAATGTCTGTATGATTTTATGATGTGCTAAGCTTTTTAAAATATCCAAGATGTGAAATTCGTTCTTTAGTGCAGGCAAGTGGAAAACAGATTTCTATCCGACTTTTTAAAATTTCAGAATTCTAGTTGACTACCAGGAGCAGCATACAGTACAATGAAGATAAACTTCCTGTGATTTTCTTCTTTTTAGAAGAAATTGTAAAAAGCTGCCTTCACTTTTTGAATTAAGGTATTTTTAAATTATAATTATGAAGGGTATACACACTGTCAGCCTACTAACAGTATGCACAGATTATTATTATTATACAGCTAAGGCAACACTTCTAATAATGGACATACTGTAAATTCCTAATTAAAGCCAAGAGAAAAGTAGAAGAAAAGTTCCCGAATACCTTATGAATTTTAAATGTGTTGCTGTTTCTAAAATAACATTTTTTCTATCTGATGCGCACGTTATTCGTGACTCAATATTTTAAAATGTCTTTGGATTGAGCTCTAACATCATAAAAGTTTATATGTTTTAAATTGAAATACCACATTTACATTTTCAGGTAGTTCAGTGGAAACTCAAAGGAAATTTGTGAGTTATTAATGTGAGATTCCCTCGGCAATCTGTCATAATGCGTTAGGATTTTTTATTACAAAGTGTGAAAAGGTTTAAAGAGGTTAACTTTATAAAATACAGTAGATGCACGCATTATGAAAAACTAAAGGAACACCCTGAATAGAGTAGACAGTGCCTTTGCCTCCTTCTTCTGCTGTTTTTACTTAACTCCCACAGCTACTAAAACAGAACATGCTGAGGCTCATTTCACATTCAACAAAAATCCATCTTTTTAAAAAATATTTCACAAATGACTAAAATAGTTTCTCAGCTACTATGTTTTTTGTTGGTCATTGTTGAATCTGAAAATATTGTACTCTCTCCCATAAGCTGTGGTCTTTTCACTTGCAAACTCTTAGTTTCGTTGAAGAGATTCTCTACTCTTAAAAAAAGTTGTAAGTATCTGTTACACTTTCCTCCACAGTTGGCAAAC